CCTCACAGATTTTCTATTAAACTCCCCAGGCACTTATTATTTCACTTGAAGCAAACTTATGTTAAAACCTTTCCCTCTATCTTTGCAAGCAGTGCTTCTGCCCCATGGGGCTTATAGTGTTGACACCTCAATCATTCACAGTGATAATGACCTAGATTTTTTTGTGACAGGCAGTATTTCTATCCAATTGGCTGTACTGGTCGTAGAGGGCTCTGGGTCTTATAAGAGCCAAACCCAGACCCACAATATTAGACACTTGTAACTTAAAAATACAAGTAAAGATATGCTAACTCTCAAAATATGCTAAAGATTTTTGTTCGAAAGATCAGGTGCAAGTGAAAGCATTAAAAAAGAAAAAGTGAATTTTTCTGTTATTTTCACATCTTACATTATTTAAATATTTAAGTAAGATTGGCATCACCCTGTGCTTTGCAGTCTGCAGTGGCAAAGAGACTTGGGCATGTATAGGAGATGATTTGGATAATTTGGATATAATGTTCCTAGATGTGCTCATCATGGGAGCTCTGGTAGCCACTGCTAACCAGAAGGGTGATGGTTCAAACCCACCAGCCACACCTTGGAAGGAAGATGGGGCAATCGACTTCCATAGTGATACTGCCTCGGAAACCCAAGGAGGGGTCGCTATGAGTCGGGTCCAACTCGACGGCACATAACAACAACAACAACATCATATGTGCTCATCTACTTAAAATAATTTCTAAGATGTTGGTTTTATGACAATTCAGTAATTGTTCATAAGTGAGTGAACATGACCCCTCATGTGGCCTTTTTCAATAAACTGGCTAAGAAGAGTCTTTTGGTCAAAGATATTGAGGGATTTTATTTTGTCTTCATTTTAAGTGGAGCAAATTGATTGGCTTGCATTTTTTCAATTTTCATAAAGTATTTATATGCTACCCAGTACAGCATGTTGCATAAATTACATTTTATGGATGAACAACTATAAATTATATTCTGAAGAAATATTTTAATGTATAATTTAAAAATATATATTTATATCTTTCAAGTGTACATTTCCATTAAATATGTGCATGACCTGTACAGACAATAAATAATAAAAGTATTTTGTCTTTCTTCTTAAAGATCATTTATAAGAAGCAACAGAATATTTTGTGAATTCTTTCAGGTATGTAGGAGTCATTGTTCTCTCTGCTGACTGAAGTGGGATCCGATGAAAGGAGCATCTGTAGAATGTGGAACACACTGTGAAGCTCTTGAAGGAAATGGGTATGTTTTGAATAGTTTTTTTTATATATTTCACAGTATCTAAAAAAAACTGGGCCAAAATTACAAGACAAGAGAAAAACAAGTCTGGAAAAAAAAAATTGTAATATGTGACCAAGGGCTAAATTTCTTACCACGTAAATCAATTAAAAATTGTTTTTTGGCTAACGAAATGCGAATTGAAGCGACTCATCTTCTCTTCCAGGTGGGAAAGTCAAGAGCCAGGACACAATGCAACATGGTTTGTTTTTTCTGCTGAGGCAGCACTGTAGATCACAGAGCCTCTACGCGACCATGGAGTAGAACAGAATGTTACAGCCAGCCTGAGATGCACAGTTAACACAAGTATCCCAACTACACACACACATACACATACACACACTCCACCTGGATTCTGGGAGCTGTCCTTCCTTACAGCACACTCAAACCTAGTCTATACTTTATGGTAAATCATGGTAATCTGTTGCACCAAGTCTAAATTTTGATGTTAACCTTCAAAGTTGTCTGTAACTTTCTTTACCACACCCAACATCATCTTCTAATCTTTCCCAAACTTGACAGACCAATCTGTTCAGTGGTCTCACTGGTAAACCAAAAAGCAAACCAAACCCACTGCCACTGAGTTCATTTCAACTCATAGCAACCTACAGGACAGAGTAGAACTGCCCCATAGAGTTTCTAAGGTTGTAAATTGCTGACGGAAGCGGATTGCCTCATCTCTCTCCCAGGAAGTGGCTGGTGGGTTCGAGCATCAACCTTGTGGTTAGCAGCCAAATGCTTTAACCACTGAGCCACTAGAGCTCCCTGGTTACTACATGGGAAACATGTATCTCTGCATATCTTCATTCTCCATGCTTTTGTTTATACCTCTCCAACATCCTGGAATAACTTTCTTAATCTTCCCATAATCTCAATTATAACACTTGATTTAAGACTCACGAAGTTCTGCTTTCTTGTTAAATTCTGTCTACAATGAACTCCATTTTCTGTCAGTTTCCAAAGCTCCAGGAGTCTGTGCCTCACATCTGCAGGCTGGTTTGAATCATCCTCTGGCTTGCTCTGGTGTACCTTACCTCTTCAATGACATTAACGTTCTCTCTTTCAATACCTTCCCAAATTCTATACAGAGGCAAGCACAGACCAGGAGATCGACATATTCAAATAGTGCCTAAGACACTTGACTGCTGACCAGAAGGCTGGCGGTTCAAACCCACCAGCCTTTCCTCAGAAGGAAGGTTGGGCAATCTACTTCCGTAGTGATACCACCTCAGAAACCCAAGGAGGGGTCGCTATGAGTCAGGGCCACCTCAAAGGCATATAACAACAACAACAAATTCATGTATTTCTCCATTCTTTCACAATAACAGGGAAAAAAAAAGAAAGTCATGTGCCAGACAGGATGTGGGGTACTGGAAATGCAACAATGAGAGAAATAGAATCTATACCATGAAAGAGTTCAAATACAGAGGAGAGAAATGCACCATTCTAGCTCTGAGTACATTAAACTGGGACAACATCAATGTGGGAAGTGCTGGTGGCATAGTGCCTAAGGCACTTGACTGCTAACCAGAAGTCTGGTGGTTCAAACCCATCAGCCACTCCTCACAAGGAAGATAGGGTGATCTACTTCCATAGTGATGCCGCCTCGGAAACCCAAGGAGGGGTTGCTATGAGTCAAGGACGACTCGACGGCACATAACATCAACAACAACATCAATGTGCTCTGGGGAAGAATAGCTGGGCAGGGGAGACAGCGACCTATAGTTATGTGAGCTGAAAAGTATCTTACAGAGAAGTGCATTTCTTTTATTCATTCATTCCTTCATCATCATTCATTTAACAAATATTTAGTGTTTGCCTGCATCATCCCAGGTACTGTTAAGCTCTGGAGATACTGAGATGAAAACTTGGAAGGTACAGTCTCCACTCATACTCCAAGAGGGAAACACAGTGAGGAAATCAACAATTACAGCACAAGCTAAGAAAAACAAAACGATATAGCCTTGGAAGGACTGTAAGAGATAATCTTACTGTTTTGGATTAGTAAAGATATCATTCACACCACTGGTACTGGTTCATCATGAGCACCTCACCTTTAACACAAGTGAATAAGAAGGCAAATGGCAATGTGTATGTTTGGCTCTCCTCAGGTCTGGTTAGCAGGGAAAAAAAGAACTTTCATGGTTGATCTTTCATTTTAAAAAACGTCAAAAACATCCACTTTAATTAACAGAGTTGTATGCTTAGTCACTACTTATGTAGTTAAAAATCCAATGCTTAATTTAGAGAAGAGTAAAGACCATTCAAACACCAAGATAAAATAAATACTCCTTAAGTTTGTTGTGTGTGGAGTCGCCAGGAGTCAGGGCCGACTCAACAGCAGCTAACAACAAAAAACAACTAGGCTTTCTTTATTATTGGTTCATAATTATTGTTTATTTTAACTCTAATTTGAATGGTTTCCGTGAAATTAGCTCAACTGTATCATCTCGTTTTTCTCGCTTCTATACACAGCCACAATTTGCTTTAGATTTTAAGACAGCTTTTCTGAACAGCTTATAAGCTTTTTAAGCAACTTCTTCCAGCCCCACTTCTTGCTGCTTCTTATCAATTCAATTTACATGAATAAACATGCATTGAACGGCTACAAAGTGCTTTAGAGATACAAAGGTGAGAAATGTACAGTCCATTTCTTCAATGTATAATGTATCTAACCGGGTTCTAGAGAGTTTTTTAAAAAAGAGGCGATTGACTGGTCCAAGAAAATTATCATTATCTGGCCAAATGGGCCTCCAAATTACCAGTGTGCTAAGAACGATGCCACACTCAGTCACTCGTTTCCTCTGGTTACAGCAGGGCCGACAGAGAAAAAACAGCCAAAACGTTGTTCCTGGACCATATAAAACTCAAACCAATACTGTCCACACCGACAAGAAAGTCCTTTTCTCCTCATCCAGCAAACTTACTTTCAGCCTCTTCTTCCAACAGTCAACTATAAGTAAACGACAATTCGAGGTATGTGTGTTGGGGTACAGCTGTTCGCTGTAGGGTTGTCAGTGTCCAGTCTCACTGTTAGGAGCTGAGCTGGTAAGTGTTGGCACCACCCAGGGACTCACAGCTACAAAAAAGCACACACTTTACCACAACCTGCTTCCTTTCAAATCTCTCTTTTATAGGGGCTAAGCCCTGTCCAGAAGACACAGACTTACACATCTTAAAGAGAATAGAGAAAGCGATTATATATATATATATGGCCTTCAAATAAATATTATACATAAAACCTCCAAATACTACATGGTTTACACACACATACACATACATACACATACACGCACACATCTTGAGAGAGATACTTTCAGAAATCTCAATAATCAGAGGAAATGAAAGCCATAATTTCTTCTGACAAACATTAAATAAGGACAATGGAAAACTACCAGGTTCAACTGAACAAAGCTGAAAATTTAATATACAGGTCTTGTTTATTTCTTAGGCTTCCATACTATTTAATAGACTAATAAGATTTTTGTCTTCAATATTGAAAGCCACAGTGAAATAAACATTATCTTTAGTATTCTCATAAATTATACTGTGCATTGTTTTAGAAATGACTTTGTGTCATATTTCCTCTTGGAAAATGTGCTCAAAGTAACTCTAAAGAGTCTGCTTCTCTGCTTGCTAGAAGAGATTGGTGGAGCACATGCCACACTGACTGTACTGCTTCCCGAGAGACCATGTCTTGTGTTAAAGAAACATACCCAGATGCTGTCCTCCTGGCGATACTGTTTCCAGTTCCTGCCGCTGTCACTGAACATCAGGAGGTAGCTGGTCACCCAGTTGGAGCTCCCATACCCGCCTTGGGTGGCTACCGCAGTGACCTCCATTCGCTCCCCAAGGTCAATCTGCAACCACTGGTATTTGTTCGACACGAGTGGAGACCAGCCACCAGCTCCTTGTAGAAAAACAGAAATAGGAAAAATTGGTGAAAAAAAATCATATTTTATGTGCTCTTCAGTGGTTAGACATGAAAAAATAGGAGTCGGCTGGGTATTCAAGTACAGGTAGAGCAGAATTTATTCTGTTTTGTTTTGTCCAATGTATGTCAGTATATTACAGATGTGACCATATTGTATGTATGAATGTATCTTAAGATGCTGTGTTCTTCCAATTTAATACTGTAATACTTTATTTTAGGAACTAATTTTAAGTAATATTGACAATGGTGATTATGTAAGTAACATATACTTTTGAATCCAAATTTTTCTGATGTTTAATATCTATTAAAATGCAACCTCTAGCAAATAACACTCCAAACAAGAATATTAGCAAATGTTTCCTTTCTCCTACTGGTCTGCCAGCCCACTTATGGCTCTGGTAGTAAAAGCTGAAATTGTACATAGAAATTACCATTAATTGTATACAGTGTCCATGTGTTATTCAAACATTATTCTTGACATTTATGCTTTGTTTTGTAAAGCCTTAAGCACAGTAATCTGTCTTTTAAAAAAGTCCAATAAACGTTTGCTATTTTGGTGGTACACATGTCATTATGAATCATGAAGGGATACACCTGTGTTGCCAATGTCTTCTCTTGATGACATCCCACGAACTCTTGTTTGCGTTTACAGGGTCTGATCCCCAAGGTGACTGACTACACTGCCTTTGGAACTAGATACTTTTTTCAAATTATTTTCTTTCTTGGAGTGTATCATTGCTCAAAATTGTATCTTCTACCCCATAAATCAAAAGCAAAATGCTCGTCTTCTTTTTGGTTTCAGGATATTTATCATGCTGCAATTTTCAATGGTTTGCTTTTCATTCTAATTTGCCCCGTAATTTACTCTAGAAGAGCCTGTGCTTTTGTCTAGTGAACTCAGTGGTGGAGTTCCCACAATCACCAACACTGCTTCCATGGTTTAGGAAGAAGTTTAAGAAGTTTAAGCAAGAAGGCTTGTTGGACAGACATGGACCCTGGCTAGATTTGGGTATCTTCGTGTCATTTCCCTAGCATAGCTCTCCTGCCCGCAAGGGGCCCTTCCTACTTTTGTAGACTATTATCAACATGGAAGAGAATGTGTTCTTTCACAATCTGAAAAAAAGAAAACTAAAACCACACTCACTGCTGTCGAGTCAGTTCCGACTGATAGCAACCCCTCCTTGGGTTTCCGAGGCAGTATCACTACGGAAGTAGATTGCCCAACCTTCCTTCCAAGGAGTTGCTGGTGGGTTTGAACAGCCAGTCTTCTGGTTAGTGGTCAAATGCCTTAGGCACTATGCTACCAGAGCTCCTTCATGATCTGAAGAACATCTTAAATTGCACACAATTAGGTGCCACACACAGCTCAGGGAGTGCTTAAACCCTCAGTGGAAATTGCTCCCACATGGCTCCTTTTATATCGGTGCCAGCTCTTCCCCCACGCCTCATTTATCAGGACGCATTGGTACACCATCCATCCGCCCCTACTTCCTCTGCCACCCTACTACTTAGTGTTTATCAAGCAGGCGGGGACTCTGTGTCAGGCACTGTGTGAAGCCTCTGTGATTTCATTCCCAAAGCAACCTACTGAGTAAACAAGACAAAGAAAGACACACAGAGAGTTTGAACACCTTGCCCAAGTCTACACAGTGGGGAAGAGGGACAAGTACAGAACATAACAGTGCCTCTCACATTGTTATGAGACACAAATGGGAATCAGTAGTTCTCAAAGGACATATGAAAAAAAGATACTAATGGGGGTTGGGGGTCCCTGAGTGGTACAACCAGCTTCAGCTGTTAACCAAAAGGTTGGAGGTGCAAGTCCACCCAGAGGCACCTCAGAAGGAAGTCCTCACAATCTACCTCCAAAACTCAGCCACTGAAAGTCCTATGGAGCAGAGTTCTCTGACACACACAGGATCTCCATGAGCTGGAAGTCACTCAAAAGCAACTGATTTTTGGCTTCGTGGGGGTTGGGGAGGCTCAGTAATCAGCCACCAGGTAGCAATGGCAACACACTTCCCTCTGGTTAACAAAGGACTATGTCTGTGAAAAGGATCCCTAGTGGTGCAGTGGTTAAGCACTTGGCTGCTGACCAAAAAGTTCAGCAATCAGAACCCATCAGCCACTCCATGGGAGAAAAGGCCTGACCATCTGCTCCCACAAAGACTGCAGCCTAGGAAACTCTGGGGGGCAGTTCTACTCAGTCACATTGGGTCACCTGCAGTCAGAATCGACTCTGCAGCACACAACATCAAGGGTCCTACCTAATCTTCCTTTTCTGCCCCGGGGCCTATCAAAACTTGGAAGGCAAAAGTTCTGGGGCTTGCTGTTGGACAAGCAGCCTCAGTCCCTTATTGCTGTAACTGGGTAGCTCCCTGTATTAGCATCATGTTTGCAAAGAAAAGCTGGGAATGGGTGAATGAGGTGCCCCCAGCCAGACGCCATCTTACCCTGGAGGCTCTACTCACAGACTTCTATATACATAAGTTTCCATCTCTGAGGAAATGCAGATTATGGTACTTCTTGCTCCCTCCAGCTCATTTTAATGGTCTAAAGTCAGAATTGAGGATACATGTTTTAATCTCGAATTTCATAATATTTCTCTGCCGTTTAACACTCCTTTATGGACCAGTATTTAAAAAGTGGACACATGAAAGAAACAGGGGGAGAAAAAAGCATCAGCCCCGACTGTAGTGAGGTAAAATTGGGTCATCAATTCTCATCAGAAGGAGGACTTCCTCACTGGCCGCTCCCTCTCCCTGCATCGCTCACAGTTACAGCGGCACTAACCAACCTGAAACATTCAGAGTTAATTGACCTTGAACATTTCAATTCCTTACCTGTGGTGAAAAGGTACTACTAGTATGCAAATTAGGCTCCATCATTAACGAGGTACACTGATAAAGTAATGGGAATTCAGGTGCTTCTAGGCTTTACTGAGCAATTTCAGCAGGATGAGTCAGCCACAGGGGGTGCACAGAGCCCTGCTGGGTTTTAATGCTCACAAGCTCCCCAGTAACACAGGGCACAAGCGTGTGATGGAGTATTATGTTTGTTCTAATTTTAAGAAAAATTATTCAATAGTAATATGGAAATTGTAAAAAAATATTGACCTTGACAGACTGTGAAAGTACCAGCCTGTGATGACAGGTGGGTGACAATGAAATGAACTGCAAACGCAACCACAGTGAGGTCAGACTCCACCAGTCCCACGGCCACCGCCAAACCACCTAGCACTCAGGAGGTACGCTTCTGTCATATTTACTTTTTTAATGGAGAAAATGATGGCTAACTCACAGGACTGTATGACATTCCAGCAAATTGTAAGTTCTCGACTATTATTCAAATAAAACAGATTTTTTTTTTTTTTTTAATTCATTTACTAACCCTTTCAGCTCCTGGTCAAGTGAGATTCACTGTAATGATTCATTTGGTTTTGTTTGGTTAGCTGCCTGGTCCTGCACTGTCCTCATGATCTCATCAGGATGCTCCGGTCCACTGCCGTAGCCACCTTGCATTCTGAGCTCCTTCAACCAAGCGCTATGCCGAACAATATTCTGTTGTGATCCATAGGGTTTTCATGGGCTCGTGTTTGGAAGCAGACCACCAGGCCTTTCTTGATCTTACTTTGGAAGTGTGATTTCAATCTTCCCACCATAGGTGACCCTGCTGGGATGTGAAATACCAGCAGCATAGCTTCCAGCATCATAGCAACATGCAAGCTACCACAATGACACACTGAGAGACAGGTGTTAGTTGATCCACTAAGAATGTGAGTATCCAACATCACAAGGAGACCGCTATCCCCAAAGCTAGAGACCATCTTTTAGTAATTCCGCCTACTCTTGTGGTCACTGATGTTCACCCCACAAAACAAAGACAAGAGTCCTGTTCCCCAGCTCAACGTCTGCCTCATATCACAGACTATCTTTCCCTTTTCCACCCTTCTCTTTCTCCTGCCTTGCCTCTTCTTTGATCCTTAGTCATAATTTATCTTAAAATAAACATTTCTTGACACTTCATGCTTCAGCCTGAAAAGTCACATTTAATAAAAATCTATTTATTCATCATTTTTGCCTGACTACTTTTTTATATTTCATTTCTTCCTGTTGTTGAGAATATACACTGCAGAACACACACCAATTCAGCAATTTTCACACGTACAATTCAGTGGCACTGACTCCATTCTTTGAGTTGTACAATTATTCTCACCTTCCTCTGTGGAGTTGTTCCTCCCTGTTAACACAAACTCACTGCCCCTGAGCTTTTGATCTAATCTTTTGACTTGCTGTTGTCAGTTGGATCCCACACAGACAGCTCTTAAGAGAGCACAGTGCTCAAGGCAGATAGTTTTACTAGTTAGCCTAAACTATTGTTGGGTTTGAAGATTTCAGGGGATATTTTTGGTTTAAGGATTAAAGGTTACCTCAGGGTGATAGTTTCAAGGGTTCATCTAGGCTCCATGGATCGGGAAAGTTCGGATGCCATGAGAATTTTAAATTCTGTTCTGAACTCCCCCTTTTTGATCAAAATGTTCAGTAATGGTAGTCAGGCACTGTCCAGTTCTGGTCTCATGGCAAATGGGGGCATGTCTTCATGGAGGCAATTAGCCATACATTCCATTTCCTCCTCCCATTCCTGATTCTCCTTCTGCCACCATTGCTGTAGTGAGCAGAGGCCAATTGCTGCACCTTGGATGCACACTTGCAAGTTTCATTATTTAGCCTTCAATTAAATGTTATAGTACTGCAGTGAGAATTAAATGAAAAAAAAATTATATTAAATGCTATTGATTTCTCTTATTCAGCAAGCATGCAAGTAAGTGGTAGTTGCTACTGTTTTCAATGGTAAGACAATTATTATTGCTATTAAATGTAAACAAAAAGTTATGATCAGAGAAAACATGGGCTTTGAAAAAGTTTAGTTACAAAAACACACCACTAAAAGAAAACTACAGACCAATATTCCTCATG